AGAAATGCTCAGGTCATCTGAACAGGTTTGTAACCCTCTGGATGCCATTTACTTCAACCAAGTGTGAGTGCTTGGCATTTTAACCCTTTAATCACAATTTAGACATAAAACCATAGGTATTTATTTAATGCAAAATGCTTTTGTATGCCCTTGTGTTGATTATTCTCTGTTACTACTCTAATACATTTTTCTTATTTTTCAACACATCTTTCTTATTTTTAAACCTTTTTGATCCTTCTTGGTTACCTAGTTTGATAGGCAAATGAGACAAATAGGAAGAGTCCTTGCCTCAGCAGATTACAGTGGAAGGGCCTCGCTGACCCCTTTGCTCAGTGCCGACAGCACGTCATAAAGTAAGAGTCATGACGGGCATTAAAGGGACAATTATTGGAGTAAAGTGACATTCAGCTTGAAGAAGGAGCTGTACCATGTTGGCAAGTTAAGACAAAGGTAACTGAAGGAGTCAGTGAGCCTAGGGAGCTCCTACAGACATTTCACTTATAACTGCCCTCCATGATCTTACATGGATTCTGCAGTCAGCTCTTCAGAAGTCCTAATTCTCCACAAAGCTGGGAATTAATTAAGCCCTTCTGAAAAATCAGTTCTGATGACTTTTTGGAGCCCTCAAACCCAGATGACACAGTTGTTTGCCTATTTGCTACCCTGACTGGATACAGCTTCCATTAGAACACATAGCAAATATTGGCACTGTCTTTCCCCAAATCTGCCTGCATTCCCACTTCCTGAAGAATCTCTGCAGCATGAATCAGAGGCCTGAATATGTTTACAAAGAATATGGGGCAATATTTTTTGGCAGGGTCATGATGGAGATGGTTTCCTCGATGACTTAAGTTGCTCTGTCCTACCAATAATCCTGAAAAAGCAATATGGTTTAGTTTTCGGTAGTCCTGTGAGGAGCAGGGTATTGGACTCAGTGATCCTTATGGGTTCTGTCCAACTCAAATATGAATCGTATTCTATGATACTAAAAAGATCAATGGTGTGTCCAACCCAGAGTGATCAAGTGCAATCATCCTAATACAGCCCTTCTGTAGCACCAATAAAGTTTAAAATAAAAATACTATGGAGAAATGTGTTCTAGCAGACTTACCCAAACTGCCTAGCGTAGACGTGAACAGTTTGTACACCCAGGTCAGTTTGACTCCCAGGTCAGCAATGAGATCATGTGATTCTTTGCTTAAGTAGGTTTGATACAATGTGAGTCAATATTCTAGTTTTCAAGGAGTCTAAAAGCCTGTGAGGGAGAGGTCTGGACTTCAAAAGAACTTTATCCTTAGAACTCCTACATCTGATTGAAAAGGGGCAGGAGGCTCAATAGAAATATTCTGTGAAAAGAAGATCAGGGAGGGCTTTGTATCCTCTAAATGTTGTTATATTAAGTTTCTAGATGTGGTGGGAGGATGTTCTTTTAAAAAAAATAACAAGAACAAAACCAAAAATCATCTTTTTAAGCAGTTTCCTTTTGAGAAACAGCTTCCCTAGCATTGCCACTCAAATGGATTGCTGTGCAGAAACAACTTTCATGGACTTAGTTCAGCTAAATTTTAAGGAATTATCCTTTCTTTGTGATGACTCCATGACAATCAACACAAGGGTTAAACAAAGCCTACCCACTTTAGTCCAGTTGTAGTCCAAGCTGAACTGAGTCAGACCAAGGTGAACACAAGGACATGCCATCCCATAAAAACAATGTCTGTTTCTCATTTGTAGGTAGTAAATAAGATCTATTTTACCTTTCAGCAAAGCTATCAAGTTTTCCCAACTCATCTGACAGACCAACAAGAGCATCCAGTGTCCCCACCTGTGCAAAAGATGAGAATTAGGTGAAAGACGCACAACTCTGTCTAAGGCTTCTGCTGGCAGAGTCTTCAGAAGACTGAACTGTGCTTAGCACTTGTGATTCAACAGTTTGGCAGAACTTTATCTACTTGGTGGAAAATAGTAGCAATTCCTTTACCCAAGACCTAGGACATAAAAAGCCTTTTCCAATAAAGGAAAAAAGTATGTGTAGTCTCAAGATTACATGACAGTGTCTTGCTTCCTTTTTTTAATTTCATCCTCTATCATCAAGCTGCACAGAATAGTCTTTAACCTGCCAAAATACTGACTAGAAATGCACACAAATAATGCACATACAAAAACAATAAGATGTACTGAGAGAACCAAGGGAAGCAGCACTTACTCAATAGGGGGTCTCTGTCTGAGTTCTTTGCTATTACCAAAGACTAAGTCTCTCACAAAGCCATTTCTGACCATTTGCTTTTTGTATGACTCTGTCCCACTCATAACCCCATATTTAAAGTATTGCAGTATGTTGCCAAACCTTTTCCTGTAATGTTGCCAGCTCAACAGTATGAAGGGATTATGAATTATGCCAGCTCAACATTATGAAGATAAGGGAGAAGAAATAAATTTTACATAGAACAAATAGTAGAATATGAATGGGCATCTTCAGATACTGCAAATGCTTTACTTCCTTTAACATTATCAGACACACACCAGCATTATCTGGGTAATGCCCACAGATGGTAAAAATCATATCAATCTCAGGTGCACATGCAAAAAGCAACATTCCTGGTCTGAAACGTTAATGTGACAGTTCAGTAGGCTATTACAGGCCATGCTCCCCTGTTACTTGCATCCTTACATAATTGGACTAGCTCAAGTTATAACTGCTAACAATCTTCTCGGATTAAAGCCGATCCTGGATGCACTAAGTGTAGCATTGTTAAGTGATACGCGATGACAACTCCCCAAGGAACCAAGTTCTACATCTGTGGTAGCTCTATTGACTTTGATGCAGCATATTTTGAGGTTTTTTTCATAGCCACCATTGAAATAAAAGTAAAAGCGAAACTCTTACCAAATAATTTTAAATATAATGGATTAATACTCTTTGCATTTATGTGATAATACGGAGCAGGATAATGCAGCTGAATATACATGCACATCCATTTCCCAAAGAGTAATTTGCACTCTTTTCTCTGCCAGCAGTCTTACTGCCATGGTTCTAGATAGTTAGTGATCCCTGATGTATGACTTTCACAAATGGGAGCAAATAATTAATAATATTTAATTGTGTAATAATTAGTTCTATAACTTACCTCACTCATTTTCACTCCTGATACAAGCATCCTTCCAATGTGCAGGTCAGCTTCAAGCACAATGACTTCTTTTCAATCTAATCAATTTTCAGTTGACTGAACACAACTCATCCCTCAACTGCAATCTTCTTCTACTCTCTGCATATTATCCCTGAAGATAAATCCCACATTTATCCCAAAAGTCTTTAGCCCTGGCTGATGCCACTGTATTGCCCATACACAAATCCCTTCCTCACTTACCTTTAAGTCTGGAATATGAAATTTGCTGTTGCTGGACAGGTTGGATTTAGATGTCACCATGTTCATTCTCTCCCATGCCTGTAGATTTGTTTTATCTCCCGGGGCAGAAATTAGCCAGAACTCCGACATGATCTAATATTTTCCCTTCACTCCTGGTCACTGTAGAAATCCAAAGCAGGTAAGTGGCTAAACAAGCACCACACAAAATGTGCTCTTCCCTAAGCAAAGAAAGGTTTAAAACAGATCACTGATTTGTTTGGGTTTTTTCAGAAACGACAGGAGAGTGAGTCAATCCTGTGTCTCAGACTGAAAGGGAACATGACCTTCTCCAGAATGTCAC